CCCTATGGGGGACTTCATCCCAGGACCCTGGGATCATGACCTGAGCCAAGGCAGACATTTAACTGACTGAGCCACCCAGGCACCCCTAAATAAAATCTTTAAAAATAAAATGTCTATAGTTTATATTGATATTCCATCTTTCATTACAGACCCTGGTAATTTGTGACTTTTCTTTCTTGATTGGTCCTAAGTGTTTATCAATTTAGTTAAGTTTTCAAAGAACCAAATTTTGGCTTTGGTAAAATTTCTGGGTTTTTTTAAGATTTTATTTGAGCGAGAGAATGATAGAGCCTAAGCAGGGTGGAGGGGCAGAGGGAGGGGGAGAAGCAGACTCCCTGCTGAGCAGGGAGCCAATGCAGGGGGACCCCCAGGACCCCAAGATAATGACCTGAGCTGAAGGCAGACGCTTAACCGACTGAGCCACCCAGGTGTCCCCAGCTTACTTGGGTTTAATTGCTCATTTTTTCCCCTAGTTTTTCAGGTAGAAATTTAGATTTTAAGCCTTCTTCCTAAGCATTTAAAGCTAATTTTCCTCTAAACACTGTTTTACCTACATCCCTTATTTTTAATTTGAATTTTGTCATTCAACACAAACTATTTTCTAATTTCCTATGTGACTGAGTCGTAGGTTTAAATGTATGGTTGATTTTTCGGGGCACCTGGGTGGCTCAGTTGGTTAAGCAACTGCCTTTGGCTCAGGTCATGATCCCAGGGTCCTGGGATTGAGCCCCGTGTCGGGCTCCCCGCTCCTCGGGGAGCCTGCTTCTCCCTCTCCCTCTGCCTTTAGCTCCCCCTGCTTGAGCTCTCTTTCTCTGTCAAATAAATAAATAAATCTTTAAAAAAAAGTATAGTTTATTTTTAAATGTCATTTTCTACATATTGTACTATATTGACTTATATCTGATGTAATTCCTTGTGGTCAAGGCTCCAGTCATCTGTGAGACTTGTTTTATGACCCACCTTGTTAGTCTGTCTTGGTGAAAGCTTCACGTACATCTGAAGAACTGTTGAGTAGTGTCCCATAAATTTCAGTTAAGTCAAGGTGGTTGATCATTCAGATCACTTTTCCTACTGATTTAAAAAAATACATCCTATCAATTCCTGAAGGGTGTTAAAATATCAAACTAGTTGTGACCTTGTCTATTTCTACCTTTTAGTTTTTGCTGTATTTTTAAAGTTCTGCTAGGTATATAGACACAATTATTATTCCTTACTGATGTATTTCCCCCTTCCCCTAATCATCATGAAATGCTTAAGCTTAATATTCATCTTTTGTCTTAATCACTTCAACTTTATGTTTAGTGTCTATCTTTCCCATCCTTTTTCTTTCAAACTATTTGTATTTAGCAGGTCTCTTTTTCAAGTTGATGATCTGTCTTATAATTGGAGTATTTGGTATACTTACATATAATTATTGGTATTGTTAGATTTAGTGGATGTTGTTCTGTCTTAGGTTTTGGTGGGGTTTTTTGCACTTTTACTTAAATCTATTTGCTCTTGCTCTTTGTTTCCTATTTTTCTCTTTTTTTTGTTACTCTTTTCCCAACTTTGGTTAACCAAATATTTCAGTGTTCCGTATTTATTCTTGTAAGCATCTCTACCTATTATGTCTTTGCATTGTTTTTTACTGGATGTTGTAGGGATTATAACATCCATCTCTAATATATATTATAATCTAAGTATTAAACTACTTTTAAGATTTATGAACCTCCCAACAGTATAGTTTCATTTAGCCACATCCTCTGTAATACAACTCTAGATAACAAACAGGCCCTTTTAGGTAACTGAAAACTAGGTAGTATACTGATATGGTTTTCTATTTTTGCTCCTTTAGCCAGTACATAGCCTTTGGAGTATTCAAATTGCACAGAAACCAAGGAAATAGAAGTTTTACCAAAACACTTATTATTCAAATTTTTTGTTCAGAGATTCTAGGAGTGCCTGGCTGGCTCAGTTGGAAGAGCATGCAACCCTCGAGGTCAGGAGTTCGAGCCCCATGTTGGGTGTAGAGATTACTAAAAAATAAACTTGTCATTAATCTATGCATCCAATATCAGGAGACCATTAACTGACCGTGAATTGTGCAAACCTCTTCCGGTCCTTCCTTTTTTTTTTTTTTTAAAGATTTTATTTATTTATTCATGAGAGACAGAGACAAAGAGGTAGAGGGAGAAGCAGGCTCCCAAGGAGCAGGGAGCCCGATGTGGGACTCGATCCCAGGACCCTGGGGTCATGACCTGAGCCGAAGGCAGATGCTTAACCATCTGAGCCACCCAGGCGCCCCCGGTCCTTCCTTCTAATGTAAGAAGAAACCGGAGGGACATGTTTGAAACATTTTAATAATCACTGAAGTTTGTTCCATTTTCTCACTGCTTTAGTCACTACCAAGATATTAACAATTCTGGAAATAATTTTAGAGACTTGCAGTTAAAGGGACCCAAACCCAATGACCTCAGCAATATAAAAGTCATTATCCCAGGTGTCTGAAATAGTCACAGTACTCTACTCTGTTATTTAGAACATTTTAATTTCCTGACAGAGTGCAAACAGACTGGTGAAAACTACCATTTACTTGGACCTACGTGCTACTGCTTCACATGCATGGTTTCACTGAGTCTTCACAACCCTGAAGCAAGCAAGAGCCCCATCTTCTAGCCGAGTAAGCAGGATAATTGTCTGGGAAATTGCTCGAACATACATCAGCACTTGTTTTCCAAAGGTATGTGTGTGGTTTAGGTCTTTCTAGAGCCACAGTCTGCACTCTTAAACATGGTTATACACTGTTTATGGCTGGAATGGGAACTCAAAGGAGACACCCTTCAATCTAGTTTTGTAATTAAAAGCAATGAGGAGAGGTTAAGGAAACCACTTGTATTCCACTCAGGAAACTTAAAAGTCTGATAAGAAGAAAACTGAAAAACTAAAAAGCAACTGTAAAAAAATAAAGTTTTGTGTCATACTCAGAGGGGCAAAAAGACTAAGGCAACTAACTTAAAATACACATCAAGGGCATAACTATACAAGCAGAAAACCACCATCATTAATGAACCTGAGTTTCTGAGAGCTGACATTACATTCAGAGAAGTATTAAAAACATGGAGAAGTACATAATGTTTAATAAAAATTGGTTTTTATGTGTATGTTGAAGGGAAATTCACGTAACACCTTGTTTCCCTAGTCAGCTATATCAAGTTCATGAGATTTCTTCCTCCAAAACAGTTCAATAGATTTATGTTAAAGACAACATGTGTATTGAAAGTAGCAATTTTATTTGAGTTAAAATTATTTACAAAAACCCAAAGACATACTTCATGAAACTGGTACAAACTATTTTTTTCCTGCCGTTGGCTTTTGCTCCAAAGATCACAGCTGAGAAATACTGTATAAAATAAAAATAGGATTGGATTCAGAAAAGTACTCTACTGTTCTAATTTCCAATTGGTAGTATTTACAGAAATATTTACAATGGAAAAAAAGGTTACTTTAAAACTTTAATTTGCAAGTCAGCCTCAAGTACCCTAAAATGCAGAGTTCTCCGAGGGTTAAAAACACACAAATGCACTGCAGCTGGTGAGGTGATTTCTCCCCCACCACCCCCCACCAAAGTCTGCATTTCTATCAGTGCTTGACAATTAGTTATTATTTAAAAAACAAAACAAAACAAAAAACTGTTAAACACTGAGGTAAATCAATTCTCAAATGATTACCAGTGTAACAGAAAAATGTAGTTCGCCCTGATTGTTCTCATCCAAACATTTTGTAATATTCTTTACCATCTGCCACAAGTCAGTTTTACCAAAAATCTGTTCCTTTTCCTAAATCCAATGATTAATAAATATCAATGCACTTTAAAATTATTAAACAAAATATACCTAATTCAGTTTTATGAATATCATTTATTGATATACTTTTAAAACAGTCTGCTAAGCTAGCTTTTATACTCAGGGCAAATAAAACCTCAATCTTTCCCAAGTTACACTGGCATAACTATGCTGTTAAAAGGTGATGTGTGGGGGTTGGGTGGGTAGGAGGAAGAAAACAATTTGCCTGGAATCAGTTACTTCCTTATAGATATCCCAACAATCTGCATTATCAAAAATAGGAAGACAATAGAAGGCAGCCACTGCATTTAAAAAACATTACAGCTGGCACTGATACAAGAGCCCCGATTTGTCACTTTATACAAGGAAATAACAAAGTCTAAATGAGTAACAATTAGACTTTCAGCTATTTTCCTCAATACACACCAAACTAATATTTTTATGGCTTCAAGTTTTACAAATCCAATGAAGAAACATGATATAACTACCTGAAAGGTATTTAAAAGTATTAATGAAAGAGATCTCTGGAAAGCCTGGATTCAGGCCCAATCACCAAAAAAAAGTTTAACCAGTGGTCTGAACAATAATTAACACAAGAAAGATTTGCAATGTTGTGAAATATATAAAATGTGTTTTGTGTGTTCCATGACTGTTTTCCAAACACACTGTTCTATGAACTAAGAATCTGAATGAAAAAAAGGATCTTCTCTGAACCAGCAATTTAAGGCTTTGCGTTTATGCATTTGATCCTGTCACTCTATAGAAGAATATACACATTATCTGGAAACATGAATTCCACATTGGTGTTTTAGCTTCCTTATATTTACTGTACTGAACATTAGAAAATATATCTAGAGAGTCCCCCCTCAAAACTTAATGTTTCAAGAGCCGCCTCTAGCATTAAGCTGAAACTACCCTGGGTTTGTCTATTTTGCTTCATCCTTTAACAGGGCACATCATCTTACATAATATTCCCTCAAACTGTTGTTGGTTTTCTTGTGTCTACAGCTATGATTCATCATGGTATGATAATATGGTCATGGTCTCAAAAGTGAAAAATAGTTCAACAACCCAAACCAAATCAAAAATAAAAAAATATACTATCAATCCCTTGTGTCTTTGGATTCCATCTAATTTTAAATATAGACAGTAGTTCAGGGAACAACAACGAAAAAAAAATTCACAAAATTATTAAAAGCTTTATTTACGATTGGAATCATTCAACAAAAAAGCAAAAGCAAATGAGCCTGAAAAAGGAACTAAGCTGTTGTCTAGAATGTCCTCAAAACATTCGATACCTCAGTAGCTAAGCTGCCTCTGCACCTGGCTGGCATGACAACAGTGGCTCAACACACACAGCAGTTGCACTAAGAGCAGCACAAACTCTCCCCTTACAACTTGCCCAGAATAAAGCAAGAGGACAGGGGAGACTATAAACTCTGCCAAAGTAAGTGTATTTAAATACTGCACAGAATTGTTAACAGCCTGAACCTTTTCCCTCATTTTTGATAGTTGCAGATTGATGTAGTAACTGTCATTTAGCAAATGCAGAATGCATGATGAAGAAATCAGGTGGCCTTAAAAATCCAAACATGAATGATACTGATGAATGTTCTTGGTTTATCTTCAAGGACTTCTTTCATGACTTTTCTCTGTCTAAGAATAGCTCCAGCATTACCGAGCACCTGAAGCAAAGGTAAAGCAGCTAGCAATGTTCCAAGTACTCAATCACTCTGGAGATAGATTTCTGGCCTGTGGTTCCAACAGCACACTGAAGGGAGGCGGAGAGAGGAAGTAACAGTTAATACTGCTTTAACAAGCATCAAATCAAAGCTTAAATTTTTTAGCTTCACTAAACTGAACACTATGAATCAAAACACACTAATATTAAATTGTAGCTTTGATAACAGAGTATCAATATATTTGGCCATAATAATTATCTTAAAAAGAACACAAGAGAATCCCTTTTTGCTTCTAGTCACGAGGGCCACATAGTATTTTCATTTCTACGGTCATTAATGCATCATATTTATGACCACAGAAGCTGCAACAGAAGCTACTTACAGTAAGATTCATGAAGCTCAGGAATTTTTTGAGCATCTCTGTCATTATTGAAAAGTCCCCTTCTGGCAGATATTCTCGCACAGTGGTCACATTGATCTGAGAAAAGAGATCAAAGAAATACTGGTCAGGTGGCAGAAAACCGGAGTTTGCACCCTGCACTGTGTTGCTAGTTTTGGCACATATCTTCTTCCAAACTTCTACGAGGTCCTTGAACTCCTTGTTTAACATGCCATTTCCTTTTCCACCCTCCTACTAAACTGTGTGTGTCTGTCCATTCCCTATCCCATCCCATCCTCAGAAAGGTAAAACTGGCAAAAGCTACTCTTGTATCCATATTTCCTTTTGTAAATATACAGAAAAATGCCTGAAAGAACAAAATGCACTGTTGAGTGTGTGTGCGTTGGGGTGGGAAGCAGTGTCAAGAAAAGGAGGCGGAAAGTGAGAACGTACCCAAGGTGCTTATGGAGTAACAAAAATCCTCATGTTCTTATGTAGGCCAGGAATTAACTAGATCTTTCCAAAGATAATCTAGTTTCATGAGAGAATGTCAGCAATGCCAGGAGAGAGCACTATGTATATATATAACCAATCTGCCACATGGAAAATATATAACTTGCTTAAAACCCTTTTCTATTTCAATGTATTTTTTCAATGTTTTAAAGATAAATAATAAAAGGAAAGGCTCTTTTAAGTATGTTCACCTACATCAAAAAAGCACAAAAGAAAATTTGTCCTGAGATTTAGGCCACAAGGCGGGAGGAGTTTCTGATTTTTGTTGCTGGGGGCAGGGAAAAAGACTACATATTATGCTTTTAAGGAATTTGCCACTGGTCCCCTCTCTCCCTTTTTATTTATTTTTTTGAGGTGGGGGGGAGAGAGAGAGAGAAAATCTTAATCAGGCTCCATGCCCAGCATGGAGCCTGACCAGGGGTGGGGGTGAGTGGAGGGGGTGGGGTGGTGGGGGCTTTGATCTGGATCAAGATCATGACCAGAGGGGCGCCTGGGTGGCTCAGTTGGTTGGGCGACTGCCTTCGGCTCAGGTCATGATCCTGGAGTCCCGGGATCGAGTCCCGCATCGGGCTCCCTGCTCGGCAGGGAGTCTGCTTCTCCCTCTGCCCCTCCCCCCTCTCATGTGCTCTCTCTCTGTCAAATAAATAAAATCTTTAAAAAAAAAAAAAAAAAGATCATGAACGGAGCCAAAATCAAGAGTAGAAGGCTCAACTGACTAAGCCACCCAAGCACCCCTCCCTCTCCCTTTTTTTTAAATTCTTGTCAGCATACTTTTGTAATTATAAAGAAACAAAATAGTATGAATACAGTTTCAGAAAAGATCTAATAAACGTTACTAAAGTAATTATGCAATATCAATCACCCATATTCTAAGTGAGCCACGTTCCCACCAAAAGCCACTACCCATCCCCAGCTGTGAGGTGGAGTGCAAATTTACTCCTACTGAGTTAACACTGCAGCTAAAACACAGAGATTTTACAAAATGCTTAAAAAATATACTGAAGTGGTGAATGTTATAAGGGCAATCCCGATGGAAACTACAGAGCTAAAGGAAAGCTGGATTTAAGAATGTCTTTAGGGGCACCTGGGTGGCTCAGTCGCTGAGCGTCTGCCTTCGGCTCAGGTCATGATCCCAGGGTCCTGGGATCGAGCCCCACTTCGGGCTCCCAGCTGAGCGGGAAGCCTGCTTCTCCCTCTCCCACTCCCCCTGTTTGTGTTCCCTCTCACTGTCTCTCTGTCAAATAAAATCTTAAAAAAAAAAAAAAAAAAGTCTTTAAAAAACAATTTCCAGGAAGGCAGCATGACAGCACGATGGTAGGAATATGGTGGCTATGAAGGCTGCTCAGTAGAAAAGTGCATTGCTATGATACAAAATCAATGATTAGACCCTAGGTTTTCAGTGAAACCCTCAATAATCAAACCCTTTTTTATCAATACTCTACAGAATGCAACATACAGTGGCTGGGGCATGGGAAGGACAGTCATAGCATGTGTTTTTAAACAGAGAACAGCAGGTACAAAAAGAAAAAATGAGAGGGGCTCTTTCGGAAAAGCATGCAACTCAATCTCAGATTTGTGAGTTCAAGCCCCACACTGGGTACAGAGATTACTTAAAAAAAAAAAAAAAGAAAATGAGAAATGGCATGGCTTATTTGGGCAATTTAGAAAATACCCAACAGGTATGACAGATTTAGAAAAAGTAGAAGCAGTTTTAACAAGTTTTACTTGTAGTAGTAAACAAAGTGGTGATTCCCTAAATGATGGAAAGCCAAGAAGACTGGTAAGAGTAGTGATCAGATGTGTTCTTTGCGAAGTTAGCTGTGGTGGTAGTGTCCAAGATGTCAGGAATGGATTCAAGAGAGCAGGAAAGACAAAGACCAGTGAGGAGACTGACCACTGCAATGCACCAGATGCATGGTGTGCAATGGAAGAAGACCCAATCCCCTGGGCTTCCTAAGCATGCAGCCCTTTACCATAAAGCAGCATTTGGTACAACCACCTGCTTTCTCGTCTCTCTTCCACTTACACTATTCAGCAAACCAATTTCCTTTACAATTTATGTATCAACTAGTTTTTTGGGGTTAATAATGACCCCACCCCAAGGCAATAAAGACATCTAGAGGGGCGCCTGGGTGGCTCAGTCGTTGAGTGTCTGCCTTTGGCTCAGGTCATGATTCCAGGGTCCTGGGATCGAGCCCCGCATCGGGCTCCCTGCTCGGCCGGGAGCCTGCTTCTCCCTCTCCCACGCCCCCTGCTTGTGTTCCCCTCTCTCGCTGTGTCTCTCTCTGTCAAATAAATAAAATCTTAACAAAAAAAAAAAAAAGACATCTAGAGTTCTACAAATTCACAACACTGCCCAGAACTTAAGGACCCTATGATCTCTTTAGAGTAGAGACAGGGGCGCCTGGGTGGCTCAGATGGTTAAGCGACTGCCTTCGGCTCAGGTCATGATCCTAGGGTCCTGGGATCGAGCCCCGCATCGGGGTCCCTGCTCAGCCGGAAGCCTGCTTCTTCCTCTCCCACCCCCCCTGCTTGTATTCCCTCTCATGCTGTCTCTCTCTCTCTCTCCCTGTCAATTAGATAAATAAAATCTTGAGAGACATATGAATAGGAATTTATTTACATGAGAAAAATGGCCAAAGATAAATCACATGTGCTAGTATCATATGTTAATGTCTAGACCCATTATTTAAGAACATACCCGAAACTAGGGTGTGTGCAAAATAGAATACCTAAAAATCATTAAATTCAAATAGTATGCCCATTCTTTCCCCTTTGCCCTTAAAATCTCTGAATTTAAGGAAATAAGGAAAAGGACTGAGCTGAAAAGATTCCAGGAAAGGGGATAAAGATCCTGCAGGGCCTGCACAGCCATGATGAGAACTCTGGTCTTGTTCCTGAAAGCCGTGGTGCCAGTAAGGGCCACAGTGGAGCAGGCTACTGTGCATTTAGATCAGAGCTTGACTATAATATAAATATGGAAGAGACAGATAGGGAGTCAGAAAAAACCAAACACCACAAAAGAGAAGCTAACCCTTTCACTACAGAATAGACTTCCATTCTTGCCTCCTGAATGCCCTTGGTTCCTAAGGAAAAGAACTTTAAAGTTTTCATTTTAAAATCTGGCTCTTCCACTAGACCTTTCCCTAAGAAAGTCCTCCCAATGACCGTCCCAGTAGCCAGAACTGTCCGCTTCCGTGCTAACTCAGCCCCACCAACTGGACACTAATACTTCTAACTTACATCATCATAATCTAAATCTTCACATAGTAATCCCATTTTCCTTGCCAGCAAGTGGTTCAAACAAAAGCCATGTGAGCCAATGCTGGCCAAGATAAGGGGAAGTCTACTTGGCGCAGTGAGTGTGGAGGGATCCTAGGGGGAAAGAGCACTGCTCTTAAAAAGAAACAGACAAGAAGCCACCTTCTGTTGGACATTATTTAACTAGATGAGACATGCAGCCACAGACAGCATAGGGCCAGGAGGAGACCTAGTACAAGACAACATGCAGAGGACAGTAGGGTCTAAAGATAAATTTTCTGAGTCCTTGATAGTATCACTGAGACTACGCTTTTCCATCTTAAGCCAGCTGAGCACAGGTTTTGTATTATGCTTTTACTTCAACCAAAGCCATGTGAATCAATTCATCCATCAATCAAAAACTTTCTCATTAAACCCAATTACTCCTAATTTTAGAATGTACCTTTAAAAGTTTACCAAATAAAAAAAAAAATAAACAATTATAAAAAAGTTTACCAAATATTTGAAAGTTTTAACATGAGGGGGAAAATAAAGTAATACATAAGTTAATTAGGTAATGGTACAAAGTTGTCACAATGCAATCTTTTTAAGACACATAAAACAATACTGAACTATTACTTACTGGACTCTCCTGGCAGAGACACCCAAGAAGTAGTGCTGTGTATGAGGCCACAATGCAATCCTCCATGTGTTTGCCAGCATGCTGAAGGGCTGAGAATATTTAAACACAAAACTGTTACAGTGTATTACCAAAACCAAAATAACAACAAAAAAACAACCCCACCCAGAACACCAACAATTCTGTTAGTTATCTTTTCTTCAGAACTCCTTAAACATTGATAGATGGTGCTAGGAAAATGGGATATCCACACAAATGAACAAAAAATTATGCAAATGAACGAGGGACCTTAATATAAGCACAAAAACCATAAAACTACTCTTAAACAAAAATAAAGGACTAAATCTTTATGACCTCGGGTTATGAAATGGCTTCTTAGATACCACACCAAAACCAAAAGTGACAAAATTAGATAAACCGAACATCAAACAAACTTCTGTGTTTCAAAAGACACCATCAAGAAAGTGAAGAGGCAACGGAGATATGTAAATGAGCAATAAGCACGAAGCACGTGAAAACATGCTTGACACCATTTATTCAACGGGGAACTGCCAATCAAGTGACATATACCTTCACACCCACTAGGATGGCTAAAATAAAAAAGACAAATAACTATTTGTAAGGATTTGGAGAAACCAGAACCCTTAAACATGGCCAGTAGGAATGTAAAATGAAGCAGTCATTTTGGAAAAGAGTATGGTAGTTCCTTAAAATGTTAAACACTGACTTAAATAATCCATCACTTTCACCCAAGAGAAGTGAAAATATATGTTCACATAAAAACTTGTACATGAATGCTATGTCACAGCAGCATCATTCATAAGAGCCACAGGTGGACACAACCCAAACATCCATTAACTGATAACCAGATAAAGTGTGGTACATACCTACAATGGAATATTTGGCTATAAAAAGGAATTAAGTACTAGTAACATGTTACAACAGGAATGAACCTGGAAAACATTAGGCTAAGTGAAAGAAGCCAGTCACAAAGGGCTACATATTATTCCATTTACATGAAATGTCCAAAATAAGGCAAATCCAGAGACAGAATTAGTGGTTGCCACTGGCTGGGGAGGGGAGAACAGGGAGTAATGGCTGCTAAATGGGTATGGGGTTTCTTTTGGGGGTGATGAAAATGCGGGTGATGGTTGCACAAGCTTGTGAATGTACTGAAAACTACTCAATTGTTCACTTTCAAAGGGTGAATTTTACCTTGTTATGGACTGAACTATGGCCCCACCCCCTGCATATGCTGAACTCCTAACCCCCAGTACCTCAGGGTATGTTTACACTTAGATTGGGTATTTAATTAAAGAGGTAGTTTAAATGAGGTCACTGGGGTGGGGTCCTAATCTGTCTGCCATCCTCATAACAGGAGATTAGAACAAAGATATACATAGAGGGAAGACTATCTAAAAAGATAGGCAAAAGATGGCCACCTACAATCCAAGCTTGGAGAGACAAGCCTGAGACCAACCCTGACACGCTGATCCTCCAGAACTGTTGTTTAAGCCACTCAGTCTACAGTACTTTGTTACAGCAGTCCTCATAAGCTAACACATACCCCAATAGAGCGGTTATTAAAAAAGACTGCTAAGCAACCAAAAATACTATTCCAAAGGGAACATGAACACTTAGAAAAAGAAACAGCAATTTCTTACAATATTAGAACTAATGGCATTAGTGGAAAAGTGGGCGTAAGAGAAAGAGACTAGGCTCAGAAAAAGACATGTGCTGGGACGTGCTTCCTAGCTTCGTGAGGCTAAACATATAATTTCGTAACTTGAGTGACAAATGGCTATCCTGTAGTACTTGCATAAACAGTAATCCAATACCAGTTGCTGACAACAGATAATAAATGTAATGTCTCCTTCAGTGTATTCCTTACTGTGCTTGCAAGCTACTACATACCATTTGAGAACTACTACCGTAATGAACCATGAGAGACTATGGACTCCGGGAATCAAATTGAGGGTTTTAGAGGGGAGGGGGGTGGGGGGATTGGTTAGCCCAGTGATGGGTATTAAGGAGGGCACGTATCGCATGGAGCATTAGGTGTTATATGCAAACAATGAATCATGGAACACTACATCAAAAACTAATGATGTACTGTATGGAGACTAACAACATTAAATCAATCTTTAAAAAAGGGAACTATTACTGTAATTTATGATGATATGGTAATAGATCTCAATTTAGGGTGCCTGGGTGGCTTAGTTGGTTAAGCATCTGCCTTCAGTTCAGGTCATGATCCCAGGATCCTGGGATCGAGTCCCACCATCAGGCTACCTGATCAGCGAGGAATCTGCTTCTCCCTCTCCCTCTGCCCAACCCAACTCCCCCACTCATGCTCTCTCTCAAACAAATAAAATCTTAAAAAGAAAAAAAAAAAAAAACCAGATCTCAATTTATAAAGTGAGGCTCATACAGGAATCTCAAAATTTCAAAACTGTAAAAACCTTTAGGAGTCCTATTGTTGAACCACTCTCTTTTCAGGTGAGTAATGAAAGGCCAGAGCAGGAAGGAAAGGGAGACTTTTCCGGCACTGCACATGCACCTTCCTCACTGCTAGGAAGCCAGCAAAGAACTATCTATGAGCACTGAAATACTAAAGCTTGGGGGCGCCTGGGTGGCTCAGTTGTTAAGCATCTGCCTTCGGCTCAGGTCATGATCCCGGGATCCTGGGATCGAGCCCCACATCAGGATCCTTGCTTAGCAGGAAACCTGCTTCTCCCTCCCACTCCCTCTGCTTGTGTTCCCTCTTTCTCGCGGTGTCTGTCAAATAAATAAAATCTTAAAAAAAAAAAAAATACTAAAGCTTGTCTGCACTGAACTCGAGAGGTCATAAAAGAATAGCAAGGGGCGCCTGAGTGGCTCAGTAGGTTAAGCGACTGCCTTTGGCTCGGGTCACGATCTCAGGGTCCTGGGATCAAGCCCTGCATCGGGCTCCCTGCTTAGCGGGAAGCCTGCTTCTCCCTTTCCCTCTGTTGCTCCCCCGTGCTTGTGTGCTTACTCTCGCTGTCAAATAAATAAGTAAAATCATTAAAAAAAAAAAGAATAGCAAGATTATGACAACACATGAATTAAAGTTTCAGAGGGAGAAAACATTTTCAATTTGAATACATGACTTAAAATAAATGTACCTTTATTGAGGTCAAGTTCTTCATCGTCCTCCTCCTTCTTATGTTTCTCTTCTGTACCATCAGTCTTTTCAGTTGATACCCACTGTATTTCTCCACTTGTCTCTTGCCACTCTCCACTCTTATCATGCTGAGTGGTGGGAGCATCTTTGATCAATTCATCTGTTTTACTTTCTGCCAACTGGGCTGCTCGTTCTCGCTCAAGGAAAAGCTGATAAAAATTATTTTTGAAGATTATTAAAAGAACACCAAGCAACATGTATGTACCCAAATATAAGGTATGTTTGCTTTTAAAATCACTAACCCTAAGAAGCATGCTATCTGGTTAAAAGGGGTAAGTTAACAAGAAAAGCGTTTGCTCTACAACCAACTGAAGGCAAAAAGGAAAGTATAAATGCTGCTGGGATTCAATCAAGTAAACTAAATGTATCTAATAATGATACAGGCATTCTGTTTGTAAGAATGCAAATCTTAACACTTGCCCTTAAATTGGATAATGACAGGATATTTCAAGCAAAAATTACAAACTTGATGTAAAAGAATTTTTTAAAGCCTGAGCAAACTAAATAAATTAAGAAAGAAAAGACACTAAATAAAACTACATAATATTGGGGAAAAGCAACATGGCCTCTTTAAAAAGAAATTTAAAGAGATAAACAAGGGATGCCTGAGTGGCTCAGTCGGTTAAGAGGCTGCCTTCGGCTTGGGTCATGATCCCAAGGTCCTGGGACTGACTCCCACATCAGGCTCCTTGCTCAGCAGGGAGCCTGCTTCTCCCTCTGCCTGCCACTCCCCCTGCTTGTGCTCTCTCTCTGACAAGTAAGTAAATAAAATCTTAAAAAAAAAAAAATTATCTCTCTCCCTCTGCCCCTCCCCGCCACCCACCCTGTCGGCTTGCTCTCTCTCATAGATAGGTAGATATTAAAAAAATAAAGAGATAAACAAGCACCAGTAAAAATAAAAAGCAAAAGGTCTCAAGAGGACTCAGAACTGGACCTCGACTATTATTAACAATGGAAGAACACAGTGACAACTAAGTCAAAAGGGAACCACTGGATTCCTTGCTTTCATGTACTTAATTTTCCTTGTGCTTGCTGGTACAGAGCTGAATGTATGGAAAGCATTTATTGATAGGATTTGGGAAAAACTCCAAGTTACTAAAAACAACTACCTGAAAATCAAATGCCCAGCAGGCCTCAAAAGTTTGCTGAGCATAGTGAAGAGTGGTATATAAACTTTAATATCCTTAAGAAAATAAAATTTGAGCTTTATATAAAAGTGGTATTAAAATTTCTTAAAATTTCGGGATCCCCAAAACCCCTTTGTAGAATCTGTGAGGTCAAAATCATATTCATAATAATCACTTCTTTCATTCTCTCTTGAGTGTATAGTGTTTTCCAGGATCTACATACTATGTGATTATGTTACTGCTCTGATGGCTAATGGAAGGAGTGTCTTTGTTTTATAATTTTAATTTTCTCAGTTTTGATTTCAAATTCAGTAAATATCAATAGATTGAACACACATAAACAAAAATTCTCTGAGTCCCTAATAATTTTTAATAGTATAAAAGAACTCCTGAGTTCAAAGTATTTGAGAAGAGAATGATGGGGTCCTAGTTATGACTCAGGAAAAGATCAAGCTGTTGTGGGTTACTTCTTTCAAGGATTACTAGTTTCAAAAAGGCCAAAAGGATTAACAGGGTAGCAAAGGTTTCAGAAACAATAAAATGGACAGTTCATTACCAATTCTGAACATATGCAAATTGTCATTTAAGGAAAGAAATAACAAAGGTAGTTAGGAACCTATTAGACTGGAAAAAAAAGTTAATAACTACAATGCCCACCATTATCAAGAAACAAAAACTCACATGCAGTTTTTTGGGAAAAGTGTAAACTGAGGAGAGAGACTATGTTTACTGGCTGGGATCAGGTGACATCAATTTTTATTTTCATTTTTTAAAAGATTATTTAATCTCTACACTCAATGTGGGGTGGTTTGAGCTCGTAACTCTGAGATCAAGAGCACATGCTCCTCCAACCGAGCCAGCCAGGTACCCCACAGAGATATCAATTTTATCTTTAGTTTTTTTTTAAAGATTTCTATTTTATTTGTCAGAGAGAGAACGCACAAGCAGGGGGAGCAGCAGGGGGAATAGCAGGCAGAGGGAGAACCAGGCTCCCCATTGAGCAAGGAGCCCGATGTGGACTTGATCCCAGGACCCTGGGATCATGACCTGAGCTGAAGGCAGACACTCAACCAACTGAGCCACCTAGGTGTCCCTCAATTTTTATTTAAAAAAAAAAATTTTTTTTTTTAGTGTCCAATAATTTATCAGTTTCTTGTAACATCCGACACATCAAATTTTAAATATACATACTCTGATACAATTTTTTTTTTTTAAGATTTTATTCATGTATTTGAGAGAGAGCACGAAGTGGGGGGAGCAGAGGGAGAGGGAGAAGCAGACTCCCCACTGGGCAGGGAGCCTGATGCTGGGGTGGATCCCAAGGCTCCGGGATCATGACCTGAGCCAAAGGCAGATGCTTTACTGACTGAGCCATGCAGGCACCCCCTGACACAATTCTTAAGCCAGGAAATTACTCCACAAACATACTTTGAAAAGTATTCCCTCACCCCCAAAAAGGGGAAAAGTATGGCCCAATACTTAGGAACACAAAGTACTAGACACAGATCAGACCAGGAAGTAAATGCTTGAAGGACCTGAACTGCACGGGATTGGGGATGGGACTTGATTCCCAATTTGTTACCAATAATCTTTTGATTTATCAACAAATATGCCTGTTTCTCCTTTTCACTATCAATGCCTAACGAGTGATTATTACAGTTAACTGTCAATGCAGTAAAGGACAGAAAGGTATAAATTCTAACCCAATATACCTACTTCTCAGTGAACTGATAAGGGTGAGAGACAGACAGACAGACACATACACACACACACACACACAAAGGGAGGAGGGAGGGAGAGAGGAGGGAGGTGCAACTGATGAAGAAGTTGGACAATGCAAAAAACTGAAGGTGTTAGCTTGTTTTGAAGTTGTTCCTTACCTGCACTAAAGCCTGAACGGCATGAATTTGTCCAGCTATCCTTAAACTATCATCTCCTTCTCCACTACAGAGGGAAGAATCAAAAGAACATGATGTTTCCATGTTGACAAGACAGTGCCGATTCCGAGCACTATACTCCACTAGATTTATCAGTAGACCTAAGCCCTACAAAAATTAAAACATGCTTATTACCACAGGTGGGAATTAAAAGCACATCAACACAATATACATAACTTTTGTTGGCAGCTAGAAACCTAATCAGTGTACTACCACCCACTAAATGGTTAAAAACCAGTATGTAAGATAATGGTCTTCCCAATGATTTCACCACTTTTTAAAAATCACTACTTTTAGTTCTTTTAATTTTTGCACAGAACCCTTCATAGCTCTCTTTTGTACAATAAGGTATGTTCACAAGGAATCCAGTGAAATCCACCATGTATCAAATAGTTGGTTCTTAAACCCAAAACAAAGATGAAATTTTTTTCATCTCAATAGATCAAATACTCCTTCATGAAACAGTCACTCCAACTCACCAGCACTCGAATATCAAATCTCTGCTCCTGAGGTAGGTACTTTGGAACCTGAAGCACACAGTTCATTGCTGTGCCAATCAAGCCATCCTGTTCTCCCGTTTTGGTACTGCCCCACTCTGAAATAAGGAATGTTAACAATGTGAAAATTGTTATGGATTCTTCTATATAACACTAATAACCAATATTCATTAACATTGATATTAAAAGTTAGAAATATATAGCTATTTCTTTATTGAAATATATTTTTGACTGTACTATTTCCAAACCAAGCTACCAGGCTGGTCCTAAAAATACTACCCCTAAAAGTAGTTACATCTATATGTGAGTAAGTGAATTACATGATGGCAATGAAAAAATCACTACATTAGAAAAGAAACAAGGGGAATTAACTTGTTTTTGCATGTAATATACAGGCTTTCAGTGAGAATACATGTAGAAAATATTACTTACCATTATCATTAGTTAAATTGAGCAATACCCCAATGATGGCCCTCATGCAGTCTTCTACTGCTTTGCCCACGTGGTTGGTTACATTCTGGTGAGGCAGAGGCTTACTGTCAGGTAAGCATATGCTGTTCTCAGCACGATTATACTGCTGAATCAATCCTTCACAATGCTGTAATGCTCTTAAGAGAAAACAAAATGTAGACTATTATGCTAAACAAAATTAATTATACTAAGAATTTCTACTTACTTGGACCTTAATATTTTAAATGTCATAAATGCTGCCAAATTAATTTCTCTTTCTACTCCAGAAGTTATAATGTATTAACTATTTAATCATATACCAAGTGTGTCTAATACCATACTAAGTGCTAAATTTTATTTTGAGAAAACTTAGTATTAATTTTTCTAAGGAAAGTTAAAATTATAAACTCAATGCAGGAGTTTACATCTATACTACTTAAAGTTGTCTCCATTTTACCAATCTCTCCAATACAACAGACCTACCACCATCCCTCCCCAAACAAGGTAAAACCTTTAAGAGCTAACACTGGGCATTTCTGAATTTCATTCAGATGTTTTTCATTTAGGTTGCATGCTCTCAGCAGCCACAGAATATTATTTATGTTAGCAATGCATAATAAATAACCTCATATAGATGGTATTAAATACTTCATAAACATTAGAGCAAGCCATATTTCTTAACATGAGGTCATTTAAGTGACATGTATCCTGGCAGCCATACAAGGGTATCAGCTGCATCCCAAAGATTCTCAAGATGCTATCCAAAATAACAAGGAAATGTAATCCTTAGGTGAGTCTAGTATTCCTGAAGCCTCTCTTTAAATCACCAGGTCCATTAATTTAAAAAAAACTCTATATGAGAGACAAAGTAAGCTGACTCTGTCAGTTGATTCCTCATGTACTATATACACCATACAAAACCCTTGAAGAAAACTGCACTATATCTAATCCCTCTCTAGCCTCGCCTTAAAACATACCATATGGATAGGAAGGTGTTCCTCATGTCTAATCTAAAATAATTTGTTGTTTAGATGTTTGAAGATGTTAGCCAGAACAACCATGCTGTTATTGTTAACTGCCTTCAGTAGTGCTGAACTAAATCATGGTTTGGGTTGGTAAATGAGGGAAGAACAGCAGGGGTGTATCATTTTAATCTTTCAATATACTCTCTCTGCTTTTATCAGACATGATAACTGAAAAGTTCAAAAAGCCAGAGGAGTGATATTTCACAAACATCCAATTCTGACCTCTACTGCCACTTCTAAAACATCTGATGGAAAATTCCTATTCACGATGAAAGAAATGAAAACTGTCATATTAAATACCTCCTTTTGGAAGACACTTGTCAGGGGTCATGAAGTATATAAGAGACATATTTATTTTATTTATTTATTTTTTAAGATTTTATTTGACAGAGAGAGACACAGCAAGAGAGGGAACACAAGCAGAGGGAGTGGGAGGGAGAAGCAGGCTTCCCGCCAAGTAGGGAGCCTGATGAGGGGCTCAATCCCAGGAGCCTGGGATCATGACCTGAGCCCGAAGGCAGACGCTTAATGACTGAGCCACCCAGGCGCCCCAGAGACATATTTTATTTTTTTAAAGATTTTATTTATTTATTTGACAGAGAGAGACACAGCGAGAGAGGGAACACAAGCAGGGGGAGTGGGAGGGGGGAAAGCAGGCTTCCCGCAGAGCGGGGAGCCCGATGCGGGGCTCGATCCCAGGACCCTGGGATCATGACCTGAGCCGAAGGCAGACACTTAACGACTGAGCCACCCAGGCGCCCCCCCCAGAGACATATTTATTTTAAAGAAATAAGTAGATTTAACTTGCAAGAATACTCTTTGGTAAGGGAGGATAAAACCTTGGTAACAAACAACTAGAATACATGCCCTAAGGGCACTAAATGTGGTAGAAAATTTACAAATATAAGGCAAAAAAAGAGAGAGAAAACCTACAGATCTACTGGAAACTAAAGACGACCAGAACTTTGAGACTATTGGAAATCTGAATACTGACTGGACATATAATATTAAGCAATTAATAATTTATAGGGTATGAAAATAGTACTGTGGTTACATCTTTTTAAGAGCCCATTTTAAGAGATTATATATACTCAAGTATTTAATGGATTAAATTATATGAAATCTGTAATTTGCTTCAAAATAATATAGAAGGGTTATGAACAGGGTTACAGATGGAAACAAGACTGGCCATGGGTGATGATTATTCAAGCTGAATAGCATGTACATCAGGATTTATCATACTATTTTGTCTATTTTTGTCTATGTTTGAAATGTACCAAAATAAGAAATTAAAAAAACAGATGAACTTGAGTCAGGCTACAGTGTGCTTCTGATATTATTCCAAGGACTTTGGACATACATTCAAAGACAATAAGGAATCAGAGATTTGGCATTTGGGATTATTTTAAAAAAGTTAAGCCCCTGTGGTATTGTGTTGAACAGGCTGGAGACCAGAGAACTAGGGCAGAAATATCAAGAACTAGGATGGAGATACCAGAAAGAACCTATTGTACTAAGCTTGAACCAAGACTTCCTTGAACCAAGGAAATTTTACACGAACTAAGGTGAAAGCATTAGCCTGATGTCATCCAAGTTGGGCAGAGAGTGTGAAATAGGGGGAGCTGCGTGGAGATCTGGAAAAATAGGTATGAAGGACAGAAGAGGGTTAGAAAAAGATCATTTACAATAAAAATAAGGACTAATACTTAGTTTTTACCATATGCTAAGAATTGTTTAGGCCTTTATATATATGAACACCTTAATAGGTACTGTACATAATATATATGAGACATTTAAACATCATTTAAAATATTTTAAAATACAGGGGCGCCTGGGTGGCTCAGTCGTTAAGCGTCTGCCTTCAGCTCAGGTTGTGATCCCAGTGTCCTGGGATCGAGCCCCACATCGGGCTCCCTGCTCAGCGGGAAGCCTGCTTCTCTCTCTCCCTCTCCTACTCCCCCTCCCACTCCCCCTGCTTGTGTTCCCTCTCTTGCTGTGTCTCTGTCAAAAAAATAAAATCTTTAAAAAAAAGTCATTAAAAAATATTTTAAAATACGTATTTTACATATACAAGTAATATTTAACAAACATTTTTGAAAATGTATATAATTTAACACATATTAGCATATATATAAACTCTTTGTGTGACAACAACCTCAGGTAGGTAAATGCAATTACTATCCCCCTTCTGAAGTACTTGTAGCAAGTAAATGATTTGCCCAAGGTGACAGGGCTGAACAAGAGGCTGGGATCCACATTTAGTCATTCTGGCTCCAATATATGTACTCCTAACTTTTGTACTATACTGTACTGCTTCTGGTTCACAGAACTTGACAGAAGTATTTTATGAAGGAAGGTGATACAATCATATTTCCTTTACGGTCAACTCAAATGCTTTAAATAAATAGCATGATAAATAAATAAATTTTTAAAAAATATATATTTTAGAAAGAGAGCGAGAGAGCAAGCACACAGCAGGAGGGGCAGAGAGGGAGGGAGAGAGAAAATCTCAAGCAGACTTCCTACTGAGTGTGGAGCCCAACAATGGTGCTCTATCTCATGACCCTGAGCCAAAACCAAGAGTTGGATGCTTAACCACCTGCGCCGCCCATGCACCCCAATAAATAGCGTAATATTTAAGAAGAACTTACTTAGCTGAAGAAACAATGAGTTGTGAATCTTTATATGCTATCAAGTAGCTTTGATTCTCTGGATTATGCACTGTTACCTAAAAAGGGAAAAATTCGAAATAACTGTGGCAATCCATAGCTTTCATTCATTCACATACAACATACATCCCTTGTACTATTAAAGACAAAGATATGGAAGAATCAGCCCTTGTCATCTAAGGGAATAACCAACACGTTCGAGATTTAAAATACTAGAGCTATTCCTTTATTACAAAATTAAAACACTGTTATAATTGCTTGCTCGTAAGTAACATACTCCGCACTACATATTCACTGTTACGAATTACCAATCACTCTGAATGTCAGAAAAGAGCGGTCTCTAACTTATAAACTAATAAAGTCCTAAGTGGATTCATTTAGAATAAAAAAATGCTATCTGTTTAATCTAGTGCACCTGAAGCACTCTAAAAGCTAGAAAGAACAATTTCGTCTGTTTCAGGAACTTCTCATTCACATTTCCCCAAAGAGGTTTCAAAAAGTACCTCACTAATCCAATCTGGTCAACAATCTACTCATTCTGAAATACACTGGCAACATAAATTGTAACCTACACTGAACTAGGTTAAAGAACAAATATACTCAGGGCATACACAGTTCAAGAGTATCCTTCTTCAAAGCCAATTACTACTATAAGCTGTGATTACAAACCATGTGACCCAAATAGCTAAATCAAGGAAATCCTTATTAATTAAAAAACAAAAACATGACAGCTCTTAACTATCATTTTCCACAAACAAGTTAATATATTTAAGAATTCCACGTTAATAAAAAAAATAATAATAATTCCACGTTAAGGAAAGAACAATAACATTTTGAAATAAAAACAAACTTGACATGCAAGGTTTCCCAGAGTGACAATATACATATTCTTAAACTGGTTATTTAACTTGTTCATTAACATTGGCTGCTCAAAGAATGCATAACAATTTGTTTGGATTAACAAAAGTAAAACTTTGGGGATATTTAATATAAAATATCTGACAGTCTCTCACACACAGTCATAATTAAATAACTTTCCCAACACAGCTGTCCATACTTACACTTTCTAAAACTCGTAAACATCTCTCTGCTCCCCATAATGAGGCTACCAGTTTCTCTTCATCTTCATCTCTACTTAAATGATCCACACATTCTTTCACTAGGAGAAACGAAATGGATATAAAATTAGTAGGTCTCATCACCTCAATATTTATCCCCTTAACTAACATTAAAAGCCATGTGTACACACATGAGTATGCTGAACCTCTCTGAACATTATTTATTCTAAGTTTTATAAAACTCTGCGGTGTTGAAATATATGAGCCTCTCACTGTGATTATTTCCATAATTCCCCAATATCAAAGTGCTAATGGCCTTTCCTTTAAAAGTTCAAGATTTCCAAGATGCTACTAAAATAGATCTTTTTAAATTGATGCAATAATTTTTTAAAGTATGTACACAGAATATTTTCTTCAGGTTAAAAATAAGACATAAAATATTGTCCGTGTTTATGTCATACCTTTATCTACAATATGATCCAGACCACCCAAAAGCCGGAGTTCTTCTTTAAACCAGTCTCCTGCTCGTTTAGAAGTAAGGGACAGCAAGGTCTCCATAGCTAAATGCCCAGTCTAAAAATGAGAGGCACCATTAATAAATATTGACTCTTAGCAATAATTCTGAGGCAACACTTCTAGAGACTGTTTTCTAGAAAAGTTCACTGCATGCTACCAGCCCATAGTATTCTTTATAATACAGTAGGTGCTTTTATAAACAAAACTGAACTAATTTTTAGTCTAAGTTGAAGAAACATTTTTTACCACCGGCTTGTTTTCACAGAGAAAATCCCTTATTAAAAGTAGTCTATCATTTGTCAAGTCAATAAAATAAATGGTGGTATGGTGGTACTGTTATTTCTTTGATACAGAGGCACAAAGAAAGGACTGTTGAATCAAAGTGCATATATATGAACTATAAATCACTATACTGGATTAACTGACCACAAAGGCTGAAACACTTAACTCCAGGAGCAAAGTATGGGTATGTCAGTGGCCCCGAATTCTTAAAAGCACTAGTTATCACTTTACATTTTTGCCAAAGGGTAAAAATAAGATATCTTATTGCTTTGGTTTGAATTTTTCTAACTATAGTAAACTTGTACATTTTTGCACATATTTATAAGCTAACTGTATTTCTCTAAAAGCGAGTTCCCTGTCAATTATTCTTTATTTTCCTTGCAAAGTTCCTTGTTTTTTTCTTATTATTTTGTATATTTTCTTACCTATTCTGAATAAAAACCCTGTTACTTTTAGGGTTTCAGATTCACCAGTATTGAACTTTATATGCAAGGCTGGCAACTTGGGATCCACAGCATGGGACTCTCATGACAAAATTATATGTAAATAATGACTGAGGACTACCACCACTAGAGAAAGCACAGAGCAGTGAAGGTCATAGGTACAACTGGACTAGAGTTTTTCTTTCTCTTGATTTGCCTTTATTATTTTTCTTTCTTACTGTGTTTCCTTTTAAAAGCACACGGACACCCTCCAACAAAGAACAATCTGGTTCCTGTTGCAATAAGGAACATCAGCATAACAAAATTAGCAAAGCTGGTAAGACCTGGTTTTCTTTCCAAAGCTTTTTTCCTTTCAAAGATAAAAGTTTACATTAAGTCCTCCTGGCCTATTTAGAACTGAAGATGGATTAGATACTGAGAAGTGGAAAAAAACAGAGTTTACTAGCAAAAATCCTATAGTATTACAGATTTTAGAAGAGATCTAGACTATTTTTGTCTACTCCTTAAAAAAAAAAAAAAAAAAGTTGATGTCCAAGCTGGACAAATAAAGAACTAGAAATCATCACTACAGAAAGATTCCATTTTGCCCAATTCTTATTCTAAGTCCCTGAAAAAGTAATTTAATGAGATCAATTCAGGTATCTTAGCTCAAGACTCACAGTAGTAATAAAGCTGAAGCCTAATGAAGCTTTCCTTGTTAAAGAAGAAAGGGGATAGTAATTTGATGTTAATACAGCAAAAATTCCTAAGTTTGTATGCTAAAAAGGGACTTTAATTTGTCTCTTATTGGCATAAAAAGGATTGTCTGATGTTTTAGGCTATATTCATAAAGCCTATTCACTTAAGCTAGCAATTAAAAACAGCTTACAATTCAAACATTTTATATGAAAAGTGGAATAGTCCTCAAAGAGTTAAAGCGCAAATCATTAATCAGAATACTAATGAGCAACTGTTAGCTCTCAGTTACATGAATTATATATGAAAACACTATAATATTTTAAATTATCTTCCCATAGCACATCAGGAATAGCAATGTATTTCAAGGAAGAAGTTAATTAATAAAAACCCAAAACTAATGTGTAGCGGGACAACCACTTTACAAAACAATGTCTAAGATTTAAAACAAATATAATATTCAAGACTAGCTGAACTTGGGAGGAAGAAGAGGCATCCCAAAATTAGCAACTGTGTTCTGGTTTTAATCATGTAAGTAAATTACTTAACACGACTTAAGAAAGTTACTACACTGTTATTTACCATCCTAATAAATTTAACAAACCATGGAGAAAATTCAATGAACAAGTATATCATGTTATTTAATAGCAAATGCCTGGAAAGAATCTATAAATGTTGAACAACATGGGAAACCCCTGCAGAAAAGATATATTTATTCAATGATGCAGCAAATAAAAATTATCTCAAATTTATTCTTTCATATCATTAAAAAATCTGTATATGCTGCAAAAGTGTTAAAAGAAAATAAAAATTACAAATATATTTTAAACATAGTATACAAATAGTCTGGTGAGGTACAGGGATCTTCATCCACCACCTGAGCATACCAGCTATTTTTCCAACTTTAGTAAGTACTGAATACATTCAATTCTGTATCTTGCCTTTTAATGTTAACCTGCTTTCCCCTGAAGCCCCACTTTACACAAATATCCTATTCTACCTTAATTAAACAGAGCAATACCCCTAAGTCATAGTTGGCCAGCACAAAGCATTCTGTAATTTTTGAGGCAAATGCTGTGGTCTTCAGTTTAGTAGGCAGTAGAAACAACGTTTATACAGTTTTGATGTTGAAAATATCTGAAAGTCAGATTATATATCAACAATCGTATTTTTTCAAAATGACAAGGCCAATTAATTATCTTCTACTGGCCTAGTAACCCGGTAGGGATATTACTGATTATTTAAGTAAAAAAGCCAAAGGAAAGGGAAACTGGAATCAACCAGAAGCAACACAGTCATCTAAAACTTCAGGAGTTGTGCTGAACCTCAGAGTTACTACTGGCCATGACCCCAATATTACGACGGCCATTGCTCCAAGGAAGGCAAGTGCCTAGGAAACTTGAGTCTTGGGCCCTTGAAGAGTTAATCAGACACCCTGAGATACTCTAGAGTAAGTGAATACTCATTTAAATGGCCCTCGCAAATCCTCTAAATCTTTATTCCTGAAACCCACAGAGAATAACAATTCAAATTCCTAATAGCCTAAATATAGTTAATACACACACACACCCCCCACAAGAAAAAAGGACAGACAAAATGCAATAGAAAATTTACTAGCAAAAAATCTAAATACAGATGGACTAGTCTAGGAATTTCAGGCAGGGAACAGAATTATGCTCAGTGCTGAACCTTAGAAGAACCTGCCCAATTGTTGACCAAGAGGTTAAATGATTTCTCCAAAGTCACACACCTGCTGTGACTAATGTAAAACTTTCTGAAATTAATTTTCATTTTACACTGGAAGGAAGGAACCCACCGTTATATTTTCTAGATCAAGATGCTTGTTGTGTACAGTTTCACAGAGCCTTCGAATTTTTTCTTTGATTTTGTTCATGTCTTTTTCATTCAGTAGCTTAGCTGAAGAAGCATCTTGTTCCAGTTCTAAAAGTCGAATCATTAGATCTAGGCTAGCTCTATCAAGATCCATGTTCAAACGATCTCTACTCAGTATGTACATGAGGGCAGCTGTACAAAGGGACAGATTCTTCAAAAGACAAAAATAAAAGTTAATGTGAGCAACTGGTGACAATTCCAGTTAATAAGACTGTTTTGACATTTGTTCACATGTTGGAAGCCTTGATGTTTTATTCAGTGAAAACTGCCCCCCTTCGAATACTCTAGGAAAATATGCATTAAATAAAGCTCTGTTACTTAAAATTTTTCCTTTCTAGAGATGTTCCCCATATCAATGCTCCCAACCTAGATGAATGTGAGCGGAATTATACATTTCTTTAGCTATTCTGTGCTAAGAGTTTAAAGAACATTTTTTCTAGCTATGCATATACACACACACATATATATAAAATCGTATTTTACACTAAACTTCACTTTATTCTTGGGTGCCTGGGTGGCTCAGTCGTTAAGCATCTGCCTTAGGCTCAGGTCATGATCCCAGGGTCCTGGGATCGAGCCCCACATCGGGCTCCCTGCTCGGCGGGAGGTCTGCTTCTCCCTCTCCCACTCCCCCTGCTTGTGTTCCCTCTCTCGCTGTGTCTCTCTCTGTCAAATGAATAAATAAAATCTTAAAAAACAATTTTTTTAAAATCTTCACTTTATTCTTTATGATAGTTGATAAAAGTTGAATTTCAATTTTAAATCAATAATGTAAATGTGTCTTAAAATCTGCATCAAACACAGCTATTTTTTTCTATAAAATAAACACAGCTGAGTTTGTGTCAAAAATATAAAGCTGGGATGCTCAAATAAACATATTTAGATTCATTTCCTTAAAATAATCAATCAGGTCTGATTGAACCAATTTTTAAAAAACCATTAATACAATGTGCTCTTAAAATCATTTAGATGGGGCGCCTGAGTGGCTCCGTTGGTTAAGCGTCTGATCCCATGTTCCTAGGATGGAGTCCCACATCGGGCTCCCTGCTCAATGGGAAGTCTTGCTTCTCCCTCCACTCTTCCCCGCCCCTGCTCGTATCTCTCGCTCAAATAAATAAACCTTAAAAAAAAAAAAACCACAAAGATAAGATAGTTAGCATACTCTGCTTACAATACTAAAATCCAGAGTACTGAGGTGATATATTTTAGGTAAGCATTATATAACAAAATGGTCTATGTTGGGATAATCCATTTGGAATATTTTGTACTTAACACACTTCAATGCACAGAAATATAAATAACATCTAAAGATTTTTTTTTTTACAAGATTTATTTATTTGAGAGAGAAAGAGAGAGAGAACTAGCGGGAGGGGGAGAAGGAGAAAGAATGTCAAGTGGACTCTGCGCTGAGTACAGAGCAAAAACCAAGAGTTGGATGGTTAATTGACTGTACCACCCAGGTGCCCTTAAAGATTTAAACTCTGAATCCCCCAAAACAGAAAAATTTTAGACTACATGCCTAATTAAATGCTTACAAAGCAAACTGGTTTTGGAAATTAGGATGTGATAGTACAGACCTTGGGAGATCCACTGCCCCCAAGAGCACACACTAATGCCTTGGTCCTCTGATAACTGTGTAACAAAGCAAATTAATTCTTAAGTCTCTTCTCTTCCCCCTCCTTGTCCTGTATCTGATATGACTTGGCAATGGAATTATCCTCACTCAGGGTTAAGTACACTGCTTTCAGTTTCATAAGATTCACTATTAGGAGTGCCTGGCTATCTCAGTTGGTTAAGCATCTGCTCGGGTCATGATCCCGGAGTCCTAGGATGGAGCCCCACATCGGGCTGCCTGCTCGGTGGGGAGTCTGCTTCTCCCTCTTGCCCCTCACCCCACTCATGCTCTCTCTCAAATAAGTTAAAAAAAAATCTTAAAAAAAAATTCAGTATTAGACTGTGTCACCTAATCTGCATTTGGAACATAATTTCCTTGAACAAAAATATAATAGTCATCTGAAAATACCACTATTGATAATGGTTAGTAACGACTTTTTTTCTAACTTCAAAAATGTTAAACCTTTTATTACAAATACAAGATTTTTAAAAGATTAGCATCAGTCATAATGAAAATGAGAATTTCTTTCTTTTCACAATGGCTAGAACTAGATTCATTATCCAAACAAAATGTTAAAAAAAAAAATCTTAATTTCAAACTGTTTTTCTCATGCTATTAATATCAAAGAGTAAAAAACGTTTTGTTTTGGTTTGTTTGTTTTTTAAGATTTTATTTATTTGAGAGAGAGAATGAGATAGAGCGAGCATGAGAGGGGGGAGGGTCAGAGGGAGAAGCAGACTCCCTGCTGAGCAGGGAGCCCGATGCGGGACTCGATCCCAGGACTCCAGGATCATGACCTGAGCCGAAGGCAGTCGCTTAACCAACTGAGCCACCCAGGTGCCCGTTTTTTTAAAAGTAGGCTCCATGCCCAGCATGGAGCTCAACTTGGGGCTTGAACTCACAACCCTGAAATCAAGACCTGAGCTGAGATCAAGAGTCAGTTACTTAACCAACTGAGCACCCAGATACCCGTAAAAGATTTTTTTCAGCACTTTATGATTAGAAGAAATCAGTGCTCACATAATTAAACATCCAGTATGGTATGGTATGTTAGGTGTGGAGCTGATGTTTTATTTATTTATTTTTTCTTTCCTGTAAAAGATTTTGATGGTATATGCATAAAAAATTGGGGGGGGGGAAGAATACAGAAGAAATTACTGCCTTTTATTAAATGTACACTGAGGTGTTCATTATATACCTTTCTATACTATTTTGTTTTCAAACTGTTTTTATTTTGTTTTTTTAATTTAATTTTGTTAGTTACCATACATTACATCATTAGTTTTTTGATATAGCGCTCCATGATTCATTGTTTGTGTATAACACCCAGTGCTACATGCAATATGTGCCCTCCTTAATACCCATCACCGGGCTAACCCATCCCCCCACCCCCCACCCCTCTAAAACCCTCAGTTTTCTCAGAGTCCATAGTCTCTCATGGTTCATCTCCCCCTCCGATTTCTCCCCCTTCATTTTTCCTGGAGCTGATGTTTTAATACTATAAACTGATAATAATATTAAGAGAAAAAAGTGTCATGAGAAAATAACCTTAAATAATATATTAAGCAAAAACTTCTGATATTAACCTCTCTATATATAGAAAATAAAATTCAACCAATAATTGGGAAATATTCATATATAAATATCCAATGTAGATAAATCTTTTTTTTTTTTAAAGATTTTATTTATTTATTTGACAGAGACACAGCGAGAGAGGGAACAGAAGCAGGGGGAGTGGGAGAGGGAGAAGCAAAGCAGGCTTCCCGCTGAGCAGGGAGCCCGATGCGGGGCTCGATCCCAGGATCCTGGGATCATGACCTGAGCCGAAGGCAGACGCTTAATGACTGAGCCACCCAGGCACCCCTAGATAAATATTTTTAAAAAGATTTATTTATTTGAGAGAGAGCACAAGCATGTGAAGGGGGGGTGGGGAAGAACCTCAAGCAAACACTCTGCTGAGTGCAAGCCCCACGTGGGGCTGGATCCCACGACCCTAAGATCATGATCTGAGCCGAAATCAAGAGTCAGGCACTTAACCGACTGAGTCACCCAGGTGCCCCCAAATAGACTGTTAATTTTTAAATAATGTTCCTGGGCGCCTGGGTGGCTCAGTTGGTTAAGTGACTGCCTTCGGCTCAGGTCATGATCCCGGAGTCCCTGAATCGAGTCCCGCATCGGGCTCCCTGCTCGGCAGGGAGTCTGCTTCTCCCTCTGACCCTCCCCCCTCTCATGTGCTCTCTCTCATTCTCTCTCTCACAAATAAATAAATAAAATCTTTAAAAAAAAAAAAAAAAATTTTAAATAATGTTCCTAATCCCAGAAATTTAAGAATACCTGATGGTGCTGGGAATCATCCAAGGTTTTAAAGACCATTGCTACCATTCCGTGTGCTCTCAGGTGCATTCGAAAACTGGGCATGGCACATTTAGTAGCCAAGCTAATAACACTAGGAGAAAATAGACTAGGTTAGGGGGTACTGAAAATAGCTTGTGCATTAGTTTTTTGTTTGCACAATACCAAAACAAGGAAATGGGGAGGGGTGGGAGGGTGTCAACCCACTGCCCATATGGATCACAATATAAAACACATGGGCAAACCGAATTATTAAAAATACATGATGCATATTGATTAGTATAAATATAAATAACACACGATCATCTTTGGTGTATTCCTTACACTACTACTATGATTAAAAGCAAAAAGTCTCAGCTACCTTTCATAATGCTTCTGATACATGAAGACTACAGATAATATTTGATTGGATATATTCCAAATGACTGGATAATTCAATGAAATTAAGATAATTCAATCCACTATAGCATGCAAAAGATGATCCAAATCAAAACACGCTTAAATCAAAAATTTATCACTTGTCTGAAATTTGGGGCTGAAAAATAACTTAAAAGATTTGTTAGTATAATACTTCTTTTAAGCATCTGTAAAGTGAAGCCTATACTATTCTAAAGAGCTACAATCATCCAACTTTCCTTTGTTAATGTAGAATCAAATTCCTTATAATAAATCAACCATATTTTAACTTATTTACACTGGCTATGAACTATATTCATGATAACAAAATCAAGGTAAGAAAATGTTTGGCTCTATTTGGCTGGAAAATTTTAGTAAGATAGAGCATGCATACATTTATCAAATATAAAAATAAGATCTCACCTAAGGCAACGTGTGTTTAGAGGCTGAGTGCTCTTTAAGCCACTTAGCAGGTATTCAATGTCATCAGTGAACTCTTGATTTTCACCAAATTCCACCACATCATTGAAGTGCTTCACATGCTGAACAACAGTATACAACTGCCAAGAAAAAATAAGTCCACTTCTTTTGTAACCATGAACTAGCATATTTAAATCTACGGGCTTGCTGTACTTCATTCAGAAGTGTATAAAAGAGTTCATTATATGGCAACTAGAAGAAAAGTTTTAAAAACACTGGTAGTACTAGGAAAGGTAAGTTCGTGGATATCTGTTCAAGACATTAAAAGGCTAAATGTTACATACAAAAACCTATCCACGTGCAGTAAAACTGTATATGGCTGCTTACTTCTTTGTCTTCTTTTCTGCATTTCAGTGCAGTAACTATATCTTGGTAGGGCTGAGTAGGTATTGTCACAGTTTTTATCACTTTGGGTGGTGGTGCAGGAGCCTTAAAAACTCCATCATCTTTTTGATTTGGTTCCTTTGAAGACAGCCTCACCTATTAATAAAGGATTAAATTATTGTTCTAAATAAATATATAAAAATAGTAACAGCTCATCTACCTAGCAAATTTGGCTTAAAAAAAAAAAAGGTGTGAAGAGGCCTCTGAAAGGGCTACTTTAAAATTCTATGCACTACTAAGTAAGACTCACAAAAGAACCACTCAGGAATTCCTTCTGGTCTTTTTTAACCTCACATTTCACACACAATTTGTTATTTGTCTCCAAGATCATTAGAAGGAATAAAGAACCACAATTACACACATAAATAGCATTGATAAAAAGCTAGAACGGGACAAGAAAACCACACAGACAGGCAAGAGAACTTTTAAAGAATCTGTAATTTAGGATATAAATAAATAGCCATAACAAAAGTCTGGTATATAATTACTAATACACACAATGATGATCTTATACTAGTAAATGGAGTTTAATATATTCAACTTAATTAAGAACACAGGGAACTGTACATTAAAATATTTTAGAAAGATCTCTATCCCTAATTTTTTTGTTGTTATAAAGAATTCATTCCTTGACAGCGCCAGATGACTGAGGTGTTACCATTAACTTAGAAGGATTAATCTATGGTCCTCCCAGTTATTCTGAAGAAACTAATTTGATAATCTTTTTCAAATGTGTTTTGAATTGAAAGCTATTACTGGAATACAGGAAAAAGTTCTCTGAATTAATTACTCAAATTAATTTCAAATTAACCACTCAAAGCTACTCTAAGATCTATGTAGGATATAATTTATAATATAGCTCTTAATACAAACTTCAAATATGAAATAATTTACCCTTGAAACACTAAGTACAATAATTCCATTAAGATGTGGGTCAGGAGTAAAAAGTGATCCAATATTTTTTAAGGCTTTTATCTATAAACTAGTAGAGCACCAGAATTTTGATAATCCTGTCCACAATCCTCACTTTTCCAATGAATTAAACTAAAGCCTCTCATTTTAGTGAGGAAGACCAAAATAAACTGTTAAAGATTTTCAAATTCTGAATAAAGATAGCAATGGCTTAAACAAAAATGAAATTAAAAAGTACAGTTCACTTACTGTGGCACTCTGAGGTTTTACTACTGGTGGCCCAGGTAGCTCTTCTGAGTCTGGATGGTTCCAATGTCTGGCATTATATACAGCTTTTGTAGGAGACTAAAGAAATGAGAAAAAGATCAACTGTTTCCTTCTTATTTTCCATCCTTATAAAATTGTCTCATTTAATAAAATAAAAATCACAAAGAATAACTTAAATACATAAACACGTGTCCTAGACAGAGCAGGAGAGAGAACACCTGGCTAGTATTCCCACTGTGCTCCCATGCCTGTGGAGTCACCATGGTATTCTGTATTCTGCCACAGAATCAAAAATTAGTGCTCTGGGCAACTATTACCAATCTGTACTAACTTAGTAATCAATACAGTTAATTCAACATATACTTTATTCCTCATACTACTGATTCAAGCTGCATATTCTTCCAACAATGGAAATAAGACAGCTTATGAAAAGCAATAAAGGGCCATATATATTCATTTTTAAGTGAAACTGTTGGGGCCAGATGACTACCATTACTAAGAAATTTTCAAAATTTTTTAAAAAGTAGTTATGGAATATATACCATATATTACACAACACGGGAATCTAAAGCAGTACTATGTAATAATATATATGATTTCTGCAGCAAAATGTATTCATATTCACATGAATTGGGATAAAGATGTAAACTGCTCCACCTCAGTCAGGTCTGCTGACAAATCAACTTAATATAAATGTAATAAAAATAATTTTCAGTTTTGGGTGCCTGGGTGGCTCAGTCGGTTAAGCGTCTGCCTTCAGCTCAGGTCATGATCCTAGAGTCCTGAGATGGAGTCCCACGTTGGGCTCCCTAATCTCCCTCTCCCTCAGCTTCTCCCTCTCTTTCCCGCTTGTTCTAATAAATAAATAAAAATATATTTTTTAAAAGATTTATTTATTTGAGAGAGCGAGAATGAGAGAGAGAGAGTTCATGAGAGGGGGGAGGGTTAGAGGGAGAAGCAGGCTCCCCGCTGAGCAGGGAGCCCGATGCGGGACTCGATCCAGGGACTCCAGGATCATGATCTGAGCCGAAGGCAGTCGCTTAACCAGCTGAGCCACCCAGGCACCCTAAATAAAAATATTTTTAAAAAGATAAAAAGATGTATGGAGAGATGACTTAAAAAAATAATTTTCAGTTTTAACACTCTGAATTTCAGAATTGAGAATAAAGACCCATAAGCCCCTATAATCAAATCCAAAAAATTAAATCTGTATAAAAAGGGGGCACCTGGGTGGCTCAGTCATTAAATGTCTGCCTTCGGCTCAGGTCACGATCCCATGGTCCTGGGATCGAGCCCCATATCGGGCTCCCTGCTCCGCGGGAAGGCTGCTTCTCCCTCTCTCACTCCCCCTGCTTGTGTTCCCTCTCTGGCTGTGTCTCTTGTCAAATAAATAAAATCTTTAAAAAAAAAATCTGTATAAACACAAAACCCCTCACTTTCTTTTTTTAAAAGATTTTCTTTTTCTTTTTAATTTGACAGAGAGAGAGAGCACACAAGCAGGGGGACTGGAAGGCAGAGGCAGAGGGAGAAGTAGGCAGAGGCAGAGGGACTTGATCCCAGGACCCTGGGATCATGACCTGAGCTGAAGGCAGTCGCTTAACCAACTGAGCCACCCAGGCACCCCCAAAAACCTTCACTTTTTTTTAAAAAAGATTTTATTTATTTATTCGACAGAGAGAGAGAGAGAGCACAAGTAAGCAGAGTGGCAGGCAGAGGGAGAAGCAGGTTCTCTGCCAAGCAGGGAGCCGGACATGGGGCTCGATCCCAGGACCCCAGGATCATGACCTGAGCCGAAGGCAGCCGCTTAACCGACTGAGCCACCCAGGCGCCCCAAAACCCTCACTTTCAAAAGGAGATTGAGACTGAGAACATTTTCCATCCTTTACAAAAGTCATGTTAAATTTTGTCCTTTAAGCTTCATATAAATGGTTTGATCTCCTTAGAGATTTTGTTTATAAGACTATAATAAACTTCACACTTTCAGTACTACATGCAAAAAGTAAGATTAAGAGTACAAGTGGGGAAACATACTTCAAGATAGGCCAAAAGACTACATCAAAAAAGTAACCTTCTTCCCTTACTAGCTGCAGTGAACTAACGTAACTGCAATTAAACATCAAAGTTATCTTTTTTCAAGTACTATCTTTAAAATAACCATGTTGTGACATCAAGAACACAGTCTAAGCTCCAAAAGAACTGGTTTAAGAAAAGATAAAGTTTACATGGATTTGCATAGTAAATGTGTTAGAAAAATCTTAATACTAAAAGGAATCCTACTGTGAAAGTAGGAGCATAAGGTCTCTCACCTGTATTACGTATATAAATCCATTATTCTTATATACCAGGCTTGCATAAAGTGAGGATACATTGGTAATCTAAAGCAATTTATACATCCAGGAAATGACTTGATCAGCCTCTTAAGGCACAACCACATAAAGCAGAATCAACATAAACTTTAAAACCTAGCTCCCTATTCCTTTCTGCTTTTCTCTAACATCAGCTATATAATCCATATGCCTGCTAGCTGTTAGATACCTCATTTAAGCAACTTCTAATACCCAAAGCACACTCAAGAGCCCAGGAAGATCAAGGACATCTGGAAAGGTGCCTCAAAGCTCAAGTGCTTTATTTATTTTTAAAAAGCATTGATACAGGGTGCCCGGGTGGCTCAGTCAGTTAAGCATCTGCCTTCGGCTCAGGTCATGATCCCAGGGTCCTGGGAATGAGTCCCAGGTAAGGCTCCCTGCTCAGCGGGGAGTCTGCTTCTCCCTCTCTCTCTCTCCCTCTTCCCCACTCGTCCTCTCTCTCAAATAAAAATCTTTTAAAAAAATGAATAAAAAAATAAAAAAGCACTGATTGGGGGGGAACACACACACACAAAATTGATGTCCAGTAATAATCTTCTGGATAATAAGGTTATTCTGATTCCACGGGTAACAAAATAGCAGAGCAAGTCAAGGGTCTAAATTAACTAGACCCCCTTCCAGTTAACTGTGAGTGGCAATATAACTAACAATTAACAAAGCAGACTTACAAACCAGATGATCTGTATTAAAATGCAGATAAACAGTGAGCTCTACTACTTGCTACTCAACATTTTACTCATCTGTAAAATGGGGTTAGTAATAGTACCTACTACAAAGGGTTGTTGTGAGGATTAAATAAATATATGTAAAACACAGAAGAGTGCCTGAAAGAGTATGTGCTCTACAAGTATTAATTATTATGGGTAACACTACTACTAATAGTTATGTATTGATGTGTAATTCTGAGTCTAGCATCTTCATAAGAAAACTGGAGTATGTGGTCTACCTAACAGAGGACTGCAATAAACAAATGAAATAACTGACATGAAAACATGCTATTAGCAAGTATTATTATTAGAAAAATCAGACTAGGATACATTGTTCTAACTCATTTCAAAAGTCTTTGAACAAAATAATATCATTGATGACTACAGATGGAAAAATCCTCAATACTAGAAAACTGAATTCAATAGCACACTGAAAGGATATACACCATGACCAAGTGGGATTTATCACTGGGATGCAAGGAAATTCAATATGAAAACCAACCAATGTGATACATCACATTAACAGAATGGATAAAATTCTGTCCATCAAGACAACTGGTACAGAAAAAGCATTTGACAAAATTCAACACCCTTTCATAATAAAAATACTCAACAAACTCGGAATACAAGAAAATTACCTAAACATAATAAAGGTCACATATTAAAAGCCCAGAACTAATATCATCCTCAACAGTGAAAAACTGAAAGCTTTTCCTTTAAGATCAGTAATAAGGCAATGATGGCCGCTCTCACAACTTCTATTTAACATAGTACTAGACATACCAACAAAAGCAATTAAGCAAGAATCAGAAATAAAAGGTATCCAAAATGGAAAAGAAGTTAAAATTTTATCAGTTCACAGATGACATGATTGTGTATACAGAAAACTCAGAAGATTCTACCAAAAAAACCCCATTAGAATAAATATATTCCACTAAAGTTGTATGATATAAAAATCAACATACAAAAGTCAACTGCATTTCTATACAACTAACAAAGAACAATCCAAAAAGAAAATGAAGAAAATCCCATTTACAGTAGCATCAAAAAAAAACAAAAAAGAAACCTTAAGAATAAACTTAACTAAGGAAGCAAAAGACTACACTGACAGGTACAAAACACTACTAAAAAAAATTAGATACAAATAAATGGAAAGACATCTTGTGTTCATGGATTTTAAGGCTTAATACTGTTAAAATGGCCATATTACCCAACAGGATTCACAGGTTCAATGCAATTCCTATCAAAATCCCAATCGCATTCTTTTTTTTTTTTAAAGATTTTATTTATTTATTTGACAGAGAGAGACACAATGAGAGAGGGAACACAAGCAGGGGAGTGGGAGAGGGAGAAGTAGGCCTCCCTCGGAGCACGGAGCCCGATCCCAGGACCCTGGGATCATGACCTGAGCCGAAGTCAGACTCTTAACGACTGAGCCACCCAGGCGCCCCCCAAATTGTATTCTTTACAGAAAAAGAAAAAAATGAACCTAAAATTCATATGGAATCACAAAAGACAATGAATTGCCAAAACAATCTTCACAAAAAAACTAGAGGCCTCACACTTCCTGGTTTCAAAACACATTATAAAGCAACAGTAATCAAAACAGTAGGGAACTGGGGCATAAAAGATATAGAGACCAATGGAACAAAACAGAGAGCCCAGAAATAAATCTACATATATATGGTCAAATGATCGTCACCAAGGGTGCCAAAACTACAAAATGGGGATAGTCTCTTCAACACATGGTGCTGGGAAAACCAGGTATCACATGCAAAAGAATGAAACTGGACCATTATCTTACACCATATACAAAAATCAACTCAAAATGGATTAAAGATTTAAACATAAGACCTGAAAATGTAAAATTCCTTGAAGAAACCATGGGAGAAAAGTTATGTTAATAGTAGTCTTAGAAATGACTTCTTGCATATGACACCAAAAGCACAAGCAATAAATGCATACATAGACAAGTAGGACATCAAACTAAAAAGTTTCCTTCTGC